CATGACGAAAAAATCACAGTTTGATGCGGTGTTAGCGCGAAAACGGTCATTGGGCCGTTTTTCTTCCAAGAAATGAAAATGGCCATGCTGTTACCATCAATCAGGAGCGTTATAGCGACATGATGACCAATTTTGTGATGCCAATTATTCGTCGAAAGCGTATGAGGCAGTTCTGGTTTCAACAAGACGGCGCTCCACCGCACACAAATCGCATAACAATCGATTTTCTGAAGAATTTGTTTCCGGGCCGTTTGATGTCGAAAAGTGGTGATTTGGACTGGCCTTGTGGGGATATTTGAAGTCAAAAATTTACGTTAACAAGCCAAGGACCGTAGAAGAGCTCAAGGACAACATTCGTGAAGAATGTTGTCCGCTATTCCGGCCGAAATGTTGGCAAAAACGATGAAAAATGCAGCAAAAAGGGCACAATACGTCATCAACGCCAGAGGCGGCGATTTGAGAGATATCATATTCAAAAATTGATGTAAACAAATCTACTTGGAACAAATTAAATGGCTAACATTGCCAAGCGCCAAATTTTTATTTTTTTCCTCGAATATGGTCAACCCTGTATGCCTGATGAGCCGCTTAACCAACGTCGCATAGTGGTGGGAATGTAGTATCTCTCTGGCTTTCCTTTTCATTGCATCTCCGATCATGTAGCTCATCTCGAAAGAGAAATTAATAAAAAAAAACATTTACATGAATGATCCTTCGCCCTAAAAAGGCATAAAAACAGACCTCCGATAATGTTTGGGATTTTTTTTTTTTGCCACCTAATAGTATGCACCACACATTGGAGTTTTATGACCATCAACCATCTTAAAAATAGTTTCCTATGAATTTTAATATTATTTTACTCAAATAAATCGGTAAAACTGAGAGACACTTTTAGGGAATGTTTTCAAGAAATTCTTCAATTTGTTACATCCTAAAAGTATGCACCACACATTGGAATTAATTTCACCAACATTTTCAAAATGGCATCTAATGGAATATATATATAAATAAATTTGGTAAATTGGTATAGGCACTCATTGAGGATTTTTGAGATAATGCCATGAGCATTGTCATGGTTAAGCATTCTAAAAGAACAATTTTTGCCACCCAAAAGTATGCACCACACATTGGAGTTTTATGAATCAACCATCTTAAAAATATGGAATTTAATATTATTTTACTCCAATAAATCGGCATAGTAGAAAACTGAGAGATACTTTTGGGGAATGTTTTCAAGAAATTCTTCAATTTGTTACATCCTAAAAGTATGCACCACACTTTGGAATTAATTACTTCAGCATCTTCAAAATGGGTTCTAATGGAATATTTATATATATAAATTTGGTAAATTGGTATAGGCACTCATTGAGGATTTTTAAGAGATAAAAATTTGATTTTTTATTGACATGATTTGCAATTATCTATCGCCTAATAGTATGCATCATACAAGACAACATTTAACATATGTTTTCACTTTCAAAGTTCTGCAAGGTTTATGACTTGTTATTTTAATTATAAAAATGTGTTTAATATTGTGTGACTAATTTTGATATTTAATTAAAGTTTATATATAAACATAACCTTCCTTATTAAAATTAAAAATATATTTTTTTATTAAGATTATGCTATGAGATTATTTTTTTATAATAATTTTATTTCATAAGTCATCATGTTATCTGCAATTTATGTGTATTTGTTAATTTCCCAGATGTCTTAATTTTAATATTAATTTTCCTTAATATAGGTATGCTTGATTATTTTTCTATATATATTTTAATTCCTACTTAAGTACATATTTTATTTTTTTTATAAAAATATAAAATTATTTAATAATAATTCAACCTTCCTTTAAGATATTGTGAAAGAACAAAAAACAAAATGGTTTATGCAAAAAAAAAAACTTGTGCAACTTTATGTTTTCAATGTTCAACACACCCTCTATATAATTTTAAAATATTTCAAAATAAGAAGCACCAAAAAATATTTTATTTTAATACAATAAAAAATATATTAAATATATATTAAGCAACACAGTACATACAAAATTCCCATGGCATGTTTTAGAAATTTCTTAAAACTAAAAAAATCGAATTAAATATATTTAATTTAATTTATTTAAAAAAAATTTTCGGGAACTATAATAGGCGTGGATTTTTAAAATAAGTTTTTTTCGGGCACTATAATAGGCGTGGATTTTTAAAAGACATTTTTTTCGGGCACTATAATAGGCGTGGATTTTTAAAAGACATTTTTTTCGGGGACTATAATAGGCGTGGATTTTTAAAATAATTTTTTTCGGGGACTATAATAGGCGTGGATTTTTAAAATAATTTTTTTCGGGGACTATAATAGGCGTGGATTTTTAAAATAATTTTTTTCGGGGACTATAATAGGCGTGGATTTTTAAAATAATTTTTTTCGGGGACTATAATAGGCGTGGATTTTTAAAATATTTTTTTTCGGGGACTATAATAGGCGTGGATTTTTAAAATAATTTTTTTCGGGGACTATAATAGGCGTGGATTTTTAAAATAATTTTTTTTCGGGGACTATAATAGGCGTGGATTTTTAAAATAATTTTTTTCGGGGACTATAATAGGCGTGGATTTTTAAAATAATTTTTTTTCGGGGACTATAATAGGCGTGGATTTTTAAAATAATTTTTTTTTCGGGGACTATAATAGGCGTGGATTTTTTAAATAATTTTTTTTCGGGGACTATAATAGGCGTGGATTTTTTAAATAATTTTTTTCGGGAACTATAATAGGCTTGGACTTTTAAAATAATTTTTTTTCGGGGACTATAATAGGCGTGGATTTTTTAAAATAATTTTTTTCGGGGATTATAATAGGCGTGGATTTTTAAAATAATTTTTGTTGGAGATTATAATAGGCGTGGATTTTTAAAATAATTTTTTTCGGGGACTATAATAGGCGTGGATTTTTAAAATAATTGTTTTCGGGGATTATAATAGGCGTGGATTTTCAAAATAATTGTTTTCGGGGACTATAATAGGCGTGGATTTTTAAAATAATTTTTGTTGGGGATTATAATAGGCGTGGATTTTTAAAATAATTTTTTTCGGGGACTATAATAGGCGTGGATTTTTAAAATAATTTTTTTCGGGGACTATAATAGGCGTGGATTTTTAAAATAATTTTTTTCGGGGACTATAATAGGCGTGGATTTTTAAAATAAGTATTTTTCGGGGACTATAATAGGCGTGGATTTTTAAAATAAGTTTTTTTCGGGGACTATAATAGGCGTGGATTTTTAAAATAATTTTTTTTCGGGGACTATAATAGGCGTGGTTTTTTAAAATAATTTTTTTTCGGGGACTGTAATAGGCGTGGATTTTTAAAATAATTTTTTTTCGGGGACTATAATAAGCGTGGATTTTTAAAATAATTTTTTTTCGGGGACTATAATAGGCGTGGATTTTTAAAATAATTTTTTTCGGGGACTATAATAGGCGTGGATTTTTAAAATAATTTTTTTCGGGGACTATAATAGGCGTGGATTTTTAAAATAATTTTTTTCGGGGACTATAGTAGGCGTGGATGTTAAAAAAAATTGTTTTTCGGGGACTATAGTAGGCGTGGATTTTTAAAAATAATTTTTTTTTTCGGGGACTATAATGGGCGTGGATTTTTAAACATAATTTTTTTTTTCGGGGACTATAATAGGCGTGGATTTTTAAAATAAGTTTTTTTCGGGGACTATAATAGGCGTGGATTTTTTAAATAATTTTTTTCGGGGACTATAATAGGCGTGGATTTTTAAAATAATTTTTTTCGGGGACTATAATAGGCGTGGATTTTTAAAATAATTTTTTTCGGGGACTATAATAGGCGTGGATTTTTAAAATAATTTTTTTCGGGGACTATAATAGGCGTGGATTTTTAAAATAAATTTTTTCGGGGACTATAATATGCGTGGATTTTTAAAATAATTTTTTTCGGGGACTATAAAAAAAGATCTCTAAAAAATTAAATAAATTTTTTATTAATTTTTTTTTTATTAAAAAATTTTTTGTTAATAAAATAAATATTTTTCTTATTGCATGGCTTATATAAATGTGTTCCGCATGCATGTTTGTGTATATGTGTTTCAATATTTTCTTAAAAAAAAATATTATGCAATTTTTTTCTCATTTCCTATTACACAAAATGTTTATGTTATAATTAAAAAAATTGAAAAAATATATTTTTTTATTTTTAATCAATTTTTAAAAATATATATAGAAACTATTTTCAGACATAACTAATTAACCAATAAAATATGCATACAAAATTCATTCAAAACAGACAGAAATATATTTTAACATAGAAAAAGAAAATCGTAACTGGATATTGGATATTGATCTTCAAATGGAATGTATCAAAAAAAAAAAAAAAAATGAAAAGAAAAAAATTTAAATTAAAAAAAAATTAATTTATAAGTTGACTAAAAAATTTTTTTGCATAAACCATTGGTAAAAAATATATTTTTTTTTTATATAATTTTTTAAGAATTTATTTGCAATTTTTTATATATATATTTTTTTTTTTAATTTTCATTTCATAATTTGTTTTTATTTTTTTCTGTTTCTTTCCATATCGCTTTTGGTTGTGTTAAAATTTAAAAAAAACCCTCTTCGAAATTTTATGATTTTCTTGTGGACTTATAAAAAATACAAAAAAAATATTTATATCAAAACAACAACTACAAAAAATTTTTTTTGGTGATGCTGTTAATTTTTCGTTTTATTCAAATGCTATTTAAAAAAAATTAATTATGAAAACAAAAAAAAAAATAATCTTCATTGAAAAAAAAATCATCCATCAATCATCAAAAATTTGTTTTGGAAAAAATATTCAATTTTTTTCAAACCAAAAAAAAAAAACAAAAATCCGCATTTCATTTCCGTAATGCAATAACAACAACAAAAATGATATCATCACAAACAAACACACACACTCTGCAATTCCCGTTCCAATTTTGTTGTTGTCTGTATGTAGTACCAGGTGCCCCACCACGCAATATCACTGCCAAAGCCACTAGCCCCACCACCATAGCCGTCAATTGGTCACCACCGCCCGAGGAACGTTCCAATGGCCGTATTATTTATTACAAGGTATTCTATGTGGAGGTCGGTCGTACCGACAACGAGGCCACAATAACGACACTGAACGATACCCGCATCTTGTTGGATGAATTGAAACGTTGGACCGAATATAAAATATGGGTGTTGGCCGGTACATCCGTTGGCGATGGACCGCGTTCACATCCGATTATTGTGCGCACCCATGAAGATGGTATGTATAGTATTTATATAGAATTAAAAAAATTTAAAAAAAATCTATAATTTTTTTATTATTTCCGATTTTTTTTTTATTTTAATTCCCACATTTTTTATGTGATTATTTTTATATTTTTTTAAGAGGAAGCATGGATTTTTTAAAGAACAAACATTTGATAATTAAAAAAAATTTTAAAATTTTTTATAAATTATTGTGTGATTTTTAAAAAAAATATATAATTTTTTTATTATTTTTTTTATGGATACAAGAGGTCGATACAAGAGGCGTAGATTAAAAAAAAATATTTTTAGGAAAAACCAAGAGGCGTAGATTTAAAAAAAATATTTTTTTGGGAAAAACCAAGAGGCGTAGATTTTTAAAAAAAATATTTTTAGGTCGTTACAAGAGGCGTAGATTTTTAAAAAAAATATTTTTAGGTCGTTACAAGAGGCGTAGATTTTTAAAAAAATATTTTTAGGTCGTTACAAGAGGCGTAGATTTTTAAAAAAATATTTTTAGGTCGTTACAAGAGGCGTAGATTTTTAAAAAAATATTTTTAGGTCGTTACAAGAGGCGTAGATTTTTAAAAAAATATTTTTAGGTCGTTACAAGAGGCGTAGATTTTTAAAAAAATATTTTTAGGTCGTTACAAAAGGCGTAGATTTTTAAAAAAATATTTTTAGGTCGTTACAAGGGGCGTACATTTTTCCAAAAATATTTTTAGGTCGTTACAAGAGGCGTAGAATTTTTAGATAGGAATTTTTATTATTTTTTTTATTTTTTTTTTAAAAATAAAAATATTTATTCAAATAAATGACGCTGATTCTTTAATAAAAAAATCTATGGTTCCTCAATAATTTTTTTATATATATTTTTTTAATTTTTATTAACAATTTTAGAAATGTTTGTATAATTTTAATTTTTTTTTTTTTTAAATATTTATTACATATTTTTAATATTTATATTTTTCATTAGTAATTTTTATATCAACAAATATTTTTTTATATTTATTATTTTTATTTTAATTTCTTAAATAATCCTAATCAAAAACAAAATCTACAATATATATTAATCGACTTTTTTGAATTTTGCCTATCGTTTTTTTGTGAAACGAAAATGCCAAAAAAAGCAGCAGCATTTATAAAAAAAAATATTTTTGGATAAACAAAATACAAAATTATATAATATTTTTTGAATATCAAATATGATTTTCTTGTTCTATTCTTTTTTTCCTATATATAATCAAAAACAGGTCCTATATAAACACAAAAAAAATATACAACAAATGTTGACAAATATATTTTTGAAGTCAACTGTATATTTGAAAAAAGAAACAAATACTAAAAAAAATATACTCCTTACAAAAAACCCGTTTTAAAAATTATTATTATTTTATTTTAATTTTTTTTCTAATATAATCATTATTTAATTTAATTTTAAAAGAGATTTCATTTCCTTTGAATTTAATTTTAAGTTTGTACAGTACTTTTAATTTGTCAATTTCTGAACCGAAGCTATCTGAAATGCTGTATTTTGCTACGTTGCCAACGTTATTAGTCTTTGGCGATATTAATAAATTTGGCAATTCGAAACTATTTCATTTTGAGTTGGTAACGAAGTTATCTATAGCGATATATATTTTCCTAAGTTGCCAACATTATTCGCCTTTAACGATCATGACAATATTGCCAATACTCCGCTATTGCCTTTGATTATAGTTGGTAACACCTTTACAGTTTCATAGTTGTCATCTTTTGTATGCATTAAAGCAAAGCTATCATTGGTTGTGTATTTTGCTAAGTTGTCCATGCCATTAACCTTTACTATTTAAATCAGGTTGGTAAGTCTCTGCTACTGCAGTTATTTCGATTTGCCATTACTGTTAGGGCTAACCAGCGTCATACAACAAATTATTCTAACCTCATATCATGATGGAATAGTAAAGTGATGTATCAAAATGGTTGGCAACATTGCACATCGAATTCAAGTAGAAATTGCCCACTTTGACAGTTAATCGTGACCTCAGCTGCGCTAAATGGACTACCTATTTATTGTGCCATGCCTCATATTACAAACCTTTGTTCGTCGAAGTATTCTTCTTTTGAAGGGTCTTTAAATAGGTTTTGACATCTATTATCAAATGTATATATATAGTTACCCAAAAACTCATTTATTCTACTTCCGTAAATAAGTGACAGAAATTTTTACGGCTTTTTCACAATAATTCGGTCATACTTTTCTGAGCGGGATCAGTAATAATTCATACGAACTCATTCGCCGTAAAATGATCTATGCATACTTATCAGTCTGTAGCGTAGATTACTTCCCATAATCAAACCCCATTATACCACAATTCAAAAATCATATTTTATTTTAGTGTACTGACCTTCAAACAAACAAATTCAAATGCTTAGTGGACTGCTTAGATGTATTTCAAAAATTTATAGAATTAGGGAAATTATTTATCAAGTTCTGTGTAATAAACAAATCTGAATACATAATCTCGAATAATATATAATTTTTTAAGGATTCACTTTGAATGTAATTTTGAAATTATAGTTTCAAGGACTCAAGGCCTCAAAATGCTAATAGGCTCCACAATGACCTCGAACAATTTCTGTGTTTTCTACGCTGTCCTATAATCACTTCATTTTCAATCACTTCATTTTCTCTCAAAATGATTTTCGAATATTTGTAAAAGAAGGCTTATATTCTCCTCCAGATAAAATGCATCCGAAGCCCCCAGACAATGTAATAACCAATAATAACCCGACATCCAAGATAAAACAATGTGGAAATGACAGGAGACGGCGGCACCCACAGAAAAATGGCGAAACTAATAAGCAACGACTTAAACCAACACATAAGAATTAATGAGGTATTCCTTCTAGACAACGATAGATGGCAGCCCCATCACATGGGACCGGTTTTAAAAGATAAATTATCTACTTAGCTAAAACTGATTAACGAAAAGACACAGAATAACCACATCTTCTATAAGAAGAGCTGGATGTCTTTTTAGAGAAGAGGTTGTGGTCTTCTTAGAGAAGAGCTTGTGCCCTTCTTAGAGAAAAGCTTGAGGTCTTCTTAGATAAGAGCTTGTGGTCTTCTTAGAGAAGAGCTGGAGGTCTTCTTAGAGAAGAGCTGGAGGTCTTCTTAGAGAAGAGCTTGTGGTCTTCATAGAGAAGAACTTGAGGTCTTCATAGAGAAGAGCTTGAGGTCTTCTTAGAGAAGAGCTTCTCGTCTTCTTAGAGAAGTGCTTCTGATCTTCTTAGAGAAGAGCTTGAGGCTTTCTTATAGGAGATGAAGCCATGAACCTATATACTATACATATAAACATGAGGAATAGAAGATGATGGTGCGGGCAGAGTTTGGATCCTAATGTCGAAGAACGCTATAGTGTTGTTGAAGACATGGAAACCAATATATGACCGTGTGATGATTGCTCGATTCAAATGCAAAGCATACAATGTATTATACAGTGGAGAACAAAATGGTGGTAAAAACGAAGTTGGGATCATAATGTCGAAGATAAAGAAATCATTATTTGACCGGCTGATAATGATTCGATTTAAAATCATTGTAAGGTACAAAAATATACTGGATAGCTTAGGCCATACCTAAGAAAATAAAGCCCAAAGCATAATGAGAATGTCGTTGTATGGAATCCGCAAAGGATAACGATATAGAAGAACCACCTGCTCGACGAACAATAACCTAAGATCTTAGACAAAATAACTTCTTACGGAAAATGCAAAATCAACGTCAAGAATGGAGTAAAATGGCAATGTCTTGCAAAGAAAAAGTTCGATGAGATATATTTTTATGGATCAAGAAAATTCTAATAATATTTCTTTCATTGGTATGACGAGCGGTTTTAACTAAGGCTGAAGATCAGTCGTAGGCCAGGGTCAAGGATCCACAAACCTTAACTACAAACACGAGTGATTACAATTTTAATTTTTATTATAATACTCTCAATTTTTATTATAAATTTTGGGTCTGAGGATAGCTTTTATGTGTTGATAATAGGAATCATTTAATCGTTGTATTGGTTGCTGGATATTGGTCGGCTCGGCGGTACTCCACTAAGTGATGAGCTTGATGCTACTCGTATTGCTGATGTCGGGTCGTTGTTGAACGACTGGTTAGGGGTCGGGTAATAGTTAGTGGTTATTAGTATGGAGCTGACTATGAGCGGGGAGCTAGTTATGAGCGGGGAGCTGACTTTGAGCGAGCAGCTGGCAAAGAGGGAGGAGCTAGCTATGAGCGAGGCCGAAACATTATTGACATTGACCAGTATACAAGACTGCGGACACATCTTAGTTAATGTCCGAGATCGCCCCCTTCGGCATGAAAAAGTGGAACATATATTCGTATGGTATTACGAAGTGAATGAGAATTATTGTGTAATTCAAGAAATGTGTATGTCGATTAATGCAATGAAGTTGAAGAACACAGGACCGAGGAGCTAGCTATGAGCGAGGGCGAAATGTTATTAACATTTACCAGTATACGCTTAGGTTCACTGTGAGACGTTATTGAGGTGGATTGACATAACCTTGGGTAGTACATTATGTATGAAACGGTCACGTCACCATGATTTTTAATTGTGCAAGAGTAATGACAGAATTTGGACTATGTTCAATAAAATATTTTCTAATAGACTATGTTCAATACTATCATATTTAAGTGTACTTACATATTGTTGAAAAACTGCTTACATCTGGAAAAATATAGGATAATAACTGTTGGTATAAAAATAATGGAAAAAAATAATCTGTGGATTTGAAAAGTTGCGCTACAAATATGAATCAAATCTACACCAAATTTCAAGATATTGAATTTCACTTGAAAAAAGTCCTGATTGCAGTTCCGATAGCTTCTCTAGTATTTCTATTTGATATTTTTTTTATTTCGATAATGTACAACTTCTCCTTTTTTATTTCGATTATTATTAGCTATTAATTCCGTTCGACAATTGCCCCAATTTAATTTTATTATAAATGTTTTCA